TCTGCTTTAAATGTCTGGTAGAGGGGCACCTGGGTGGCGCAGTCAGTTAAGCGTCCGACTTCAGCCAGGTCACGATCTCGTGGTCCTTGAGTTCGAGCCCCGCGTCGGGCTCTGGGCTGATGGCTCAGAGCCTGGAGCCTGTTTCTGATTCTGTGTCTCCCTCTCTCTCTGCCCCTCCCCCGTTCATGCTCTGTCTCTCTCTGTCCCCCAAAAAATAAATAAACGTTGAAAAAAAATTAAAAAAAAAATGTCTGGTAGAATTCCCCTGGGAAGCAATCTGGTCCTGGACTCTTTATTTGTTGGGAGATTTTTGATAACTGATTCAATTTCTTCACTACTTATGTGTCTGTTCAAATTTTCTATTTCTTCCCATTTGAGTTTTGGTAGTGTGTGGGTGTCTAGGAATTTGTCCCTTTCTTTCAGGTTGTCGAGTTTGTTGGCATATAGTTTTTCATAGTATTCTCTGATAATTGCTTGTATTTCTGAGGGATTGTTTGTGATAAATCCATTTTCATTCGTGATTTTATCTATTTGGATCCTTTCTCTTTTCTTTTTGAGAAGTCTGGCTAGGGGTTTATCAATTTTGTTTATTTTTTCAAAAAACCAGGTCTTAGTTTCATTGATCTGTTCTACTTTGTTGTTGTTGCTGCTGCTGTTTTTTTGTTTGTTTTTGGATTCTATATTGTTTATTTCTCCTCTGATCTTTATTATTTCTCTTCTTCTGTTGGCCTTGGGGTTTCTTTGTTGCTCTGCTTCTAGTTCCTTTAGGTGTGCTGTTAGATTTTGTATTTGGGATTTTTCTTGTTTTTTTGAGATAGGCCTGAATCGCAATATATTTTCCTTTTAGGACCGCCTTTGCTGCATCCCAAAGGGTTTGGACTGTTGTGTTTTCATTTTCATTTGTTTCCATATACTTTTTAATTTCTTCTTTAATTGCCTGGGTGACCCATTCATTCTTTAGTAGGATGTTCTTTAACTTCATGCATTTGGAGGTTTTCCAAACTTTTTCCTGTGGTTGATTTCAAGTTTCATAGCACTGTGATCTGAAAATGTGCATGGTATGATCTCATTTCTTTTGTATTTATTGAGGGCTGTTTTGTGACTGTATGTGATGTATCTTGGAGAATGTTCTGTGTGCACTTGAGAAGAATGTGTATTCTGTTGATTTAGGATGAAAAGTTGTGAATATATCTGTCAAGTCCATCTGGTCTAGCGTATAATTCAGGGCTATTGTTTCTTTATTGATTTCCTGTCTGGATGTCCATTGTTGTAAGTGGAGTATTAAAGTCCCCTGCAATTACCACATTCTTACCAATAAGATTGCTTATATTTGTGATTGTTTTATATATTGGGGTGTTCTTATATTTGGTGCATAAACATTTATAATTGATAGCTCTTCTTGATGGATAGACCTCATAATTATGATATAATCTCTTGTTATAGCCTTTAGTTTAAAATCTAGTTTGTCTGATACAAGTATGGCTACTCCACCTTTCTTTTGACTTCCAGTAGCATGATAGATGGTTCTCCATCCCCTCACTTCCAATCTGAAAGTGTCCTCAGGTCTAAAATGGGTCTCTAATAGACAGAAAATATATGGGTCTTGTTTTTTTGTTTTTTGTTTGTTTGTTTGTTTTTATCCATTAGGGTACCCTATGTCTTTTAATTGGAGCATTTAGTCTATTTACATTCAGTGTTATTATTGAAAGATGTGGATTAGAATCATTGTGTTATCTGTAGGTTTCATACTTGTAGTGATGTCTCTGGTCCTTTGTGGTCTTTGCAACATTCCACTCACAGAGTCCCCCTTAGGATCTCTTGTAGGGCTAGTTTAGTGGTGATGAATTCCTTCAGTTTTTGTTTGTCTGGAAAAACCTTTATCTCTCCTTCTATTGTGAATCACAGACTTGCTGGATAAAGGATTCTTGGCTGCATATTTTTCCTATTCAGCACATTGAAAATTTTCTGCCACTCCTTTCTGACCTGCCAAGTTTCAGTAGATAGGTCTGCTGTCTACCCTTGTAGGTTAAGGCCCATTTGTCCCTAGCTGCTTTCAGAATTCTCTCTTTATCTTGTATTTTGCTGGTTTCACTATGATACGTCATGCAGAAGGTATGTCTAAAGGGAGTTCTCTGTGCCTCCTGGATTTCAGTGTCTGTTTCCTTCCCCCAGATTGGGGAAGTTCTCAGATATGATGTGTTCAAGTATACCTTCAGCCCCTTTCTCTCTCTCTTCTTCTTCTGGAACTCCTATCATATAGGTATGATTCCATTTCATTGAAACACTTAGTATTCTAATTCTCCCTTCATGGTCTAGAATTTTTTTATCTTTTTCTCAGCTTCATCTTTTTCCATAATTTTATCTTCTATTTCACCTATTCTCTCCTCTGCCTCTTCAATCCTCACTGTCACCACTTCTAGTTTATTTTGCACCTCATTTACAGCATTTTAAATTCATCGTGACTATTTTTTAGTTCCTTGATCTCTGCAGCAATAGATTCTCTGCTTTTTTCAAGCCCAGCAATTAATCTTATGACTATTATTCTAAATTCTTGTTCAGTTATATTGTTTATATCTGTTTTGATCAATTCTTTAGCTGTCATTTCTTCCTGGAATTTCTTTTGAGGAGAATTCTTCCGTTTCATCATTTTTGTCTAGTTTTTTTGTCCCTTATGTGTTTTAAAAACTTGTTATGTGTCCTGCAACTGTGAGGACTACTACACAGTTTAAAATTAAAAAAATTTTTTTTAGTGTTTTATTAATTTTTGAGAGAGAGAGAGACAGACAGAGTACGAGTGGGGGAAGGGCAGAGAGAGAGAGAGACACAGAATCCAAAGAAGGCCTCAGGCTCTGAGCTGTCAGCACAAAGCCCAATGCGGGGCTCGAACTCATGAACCGTGGGATCATGACCTGAGCTGAAGTCGGATGCTTAACCGACTGAGCCACCCGGGTGCTCCTGTAAGCACTACTATATTAAAGAGGGGTCATACACTGTCCAGGGCCTGGCCCTTCAGGAGGTGTTTTTGGAGGGTGTTACTTGTTCTCTGTAGTTGTGACTCTGGTTGCTTTATCTCCTCACTCGTAGTGATGTTTTGGACCCTCCACCAAGTGTGCTTTGATTTTTTCGCTGAAGTAGCCCAGGAAAAGAAAACAAGCAAACAAACCAGAAAAGAAAAAAAACCCAAAACACCAGCTACAGCAAAAACAGTGGGGTGGTGGTGTTGATGGAAGAGGCCTTATCCCATACAAAAAGAGATATGACAGGGGCAGGGGAAAAGAAAAGAAACTTGACCAGGCAGAGAAACTCTATGGCTTAATCCAGAGAGAGAGAGGGGAAAATAAAGAAGGAGATACAGAATAGTTATAAAGAGAATAGATTAAATATGTCTGCTTAAACGAACCAACAACCAGAATAACTAGACTAGAGGAGGGAAGAAATAAAAAGGAGAAAAGGAAGAGAAGAGGGAGGAAAAAAAAATATATATATGTATATATATGTATATATATATACATATATATATATATATTAAGAATTGTCCAAGAATTAAATCAGAAAATGCAAAGTCGCTGGGTGCCTTGGAACCCGTGGCAGTGCAGGTCCGGAGGAGGGGCTGGCTGGTTCCACAGCGTCAATCCCTCTCCAGTAGATACACAGTTACCAGGTGCAGAAGGGCGTGGTTTGCTGTGTGTGGGCCCCGCCTCCCCTGTGGGCCCACTGTCAGTTCCCTGAAGCCCCACCTTGTTGGTGATGGGGAGAAAAATGGCGACACCCCAGTCTCTCCCCCACCCACTGGGTGTCCCAAACTACTCTGTTCAGGCTGTCCTCACTGTGCTGCGGGCGCGAACCACGGGGTTTGTCCCGCTCCGCCAACTCCCGATTCCCGGTGCCTCCCCTGGTGATCAGCTGGGATTTAAACCCTGATGTCTTAAGAGGTCTGGCTCCATGTGCCCTGGTTCCGGGAAAGTGCTGCTCCGCCCCGCCGATATATGGCCTCTGGCTGGTGGGTGCAGGCAGTCTTTGTCCTTTGAAAGGTTATATGCCTTCTTACTACAGCACTCCCGGGAGGGGATTGCTTTCTCCCACTGCAGACTGTGCCTCTGAAGTAGTTACCGAGCCCGAGGCTGGCTCCCCTTCCCACCAGGTGTGTGAACTGGGCAGCGGGCCCCTGTCTGGAGTAAGCCCCAAAGAGACTGCATCTTTCTCTGTCCCGGTCGGTGGTTTTTCTCTTGTCCAGATACAGTCCTATGCTTCCCCAGCCTTTCTCTTCCCTTTGTCCCTCCCCTTTGTCCCTCCCCTCCAGGCCCATGAGGCCCATTTTCTCTCTCCCAGTTTGCAATCACGCACCTGTGGCCAGCCAGGTTATCCCCGTGGGTCCTGGAGACGTCTTTGTCACTCTGCAGCCTGGACTGTTGGAATTCAAAGTCCTTTGGCCTCAATACTGCTGTGTTTGAGGGACAAGGGAACTTCGGGTCCCCCTACTCCCCCCACTCCAACCTCTTCTTAATATAGCCATTTTTACCCCCCAGAAGCAGAAAATACAGCAGACTTTCCTAACACACAGAAGACAGAGACCTAGACAAAATGCCAAGATAGAGGAATTCCTCCCCAAAGAAGGAATAAGAAGAGGTTGCGGCCAGGGATCTAATCACAACAGGTAATTGTCTACTCAAGTAGAGCCAAGAGATGGAGGGGGAGAGAGTCCCAGACACAGTATTTGAGCACCTGGATCCATCTATGCCTGAATTTATAATTACAAGAGTCTATATATTTTGGTTTTTACTTTAGTTTGTCTGAGTTGAGTTTTTGTTAGTTCTAACTAAAAGGATCCTGATGATTACAACTCTACTATTCCAGACCAGTTTGTACTGAAAGAGATGAGTGGAAACAAGTTGATCTATGAGGTAGATTATTATACCATTTGCTTAAATAAACCACACCTCTGGATTCATGCTCTCTATTGTCCTCTCCCACATTGAGTGTGTGTTCAACCACATGAGTACCTTGTAAGTGTTTGCATTTTGGGGCTGCTCTTCTTGGAAGGCTTTCTCCTGGAACCAGCTTCATGGAAGTCCAGGAAACTCTGCGGCACAGAGAGGCAGAGTGTAGAATTCCTAGAAGATGAGACAGAGATAACCCATGTGAAAGAACACTGAGGCACCCCAGCCCAGCTCCTCACTGCATGTAGCCACATGCGTGATTCAGCCAACATCACATGGAGCAGAAAAACTGCCCCGCTGAACCTACAGTCAACCTGTAGAATCATGAGCAATAATAAATTGTTATTGTTTTAACCAACTAAGTTTGGGGGTAACTTGTTAGGTGACAAAAAGTAATCGAAGTAGCCAAGGATCAGAGCACCCAGTCAGATTTGGTCTTAAGCAGTTGCCCAAGACAGGGTGCCAGTGATACTTACTCATTTATGCATTCATTTCATTTAACGAAGCATTTAATGAATGTCTGGTAGGTACTGGTCCATAAAAAATTGTAAAGGGCCCAGGAAATGGCAAAAATGTGCACAATCACTATGTAAATAATGGATGTCACTTTAGAATTTGATGTTTATCTCTTTCAGAAGATTTTAAATGCTTTTGGCCTGTGAAGGAAATAACTTCTGACTAATCAATATTGACAACCAAATTTTCCATCATATAAATGGAGCCAGGAGCTATGTTTTAAGGCCAGATCCTCCTGTGTATTACAATTGCCTGTATTTATGGACAGATGAGTTACATCAAGGTTTAAAGGAAATATATTTTCATTGCAGTGAGAAACTGTTATTTTCTGCTTTGAAATTTATTCCTTCACTAGGGGCATCTGACTACCTGGATTACACTTTTAGTTCCATCACTCGGTAGATTTATGACCTTGGGGGCAAGTATTAACCATTCCAAGCTATGATTTCTCTATTTGTTAAAAGGCTTAACAGTAGTGTATACCTTATATAGTAATGCCTAAATAAATTATTATTATTATTATTATTATTATTATTATTATCCTAAATGATTTCTGGATCACCTACCCTATCTTAGGAAATCTATTTGGTTTTCTTTATTTGAAAGAAAATAGTGGTCATCTTTGCTTCCTAAGAAGCAAACATCAGTATTCTTTTTTAGTATTAACTAACTTCATCCTTTCTTTTCACTCCCTGCTTTGGGAAATTAAAGATTTTAGTAAAATGTTAACCTTGAGAAAATGTATTAATGTATTAAATGATTTTTTCACCCATAAACATTACCTTATTATATGGTATCTGAAGAAGTCAGTGCAATATCGGAGTATGCTTAGTTTTATAATGGAGTAGGGAAGCAGGGAGAAAGAACTGGGCTCATCTTTTCCTTTTTTGGAATAACACATAAAGGTGTAATTGACAAAGGAGAGAGCTCTGCTTTCAAGGGATTCAGGTTTGAGGAGTAGGCAGTAAATTTTAGCCAAGCTGGGAAACTGTGGGAAGTTCTAATTTGCAGAAAGTAGAAAGCCTCCATGTGTCAAGAACATGGAAATCACGCCCCAGTTTGGTTTTGATTTTGCCACAGCTCTGCTCTGCTTTAACCTCCTGATCTGGTCAATTCATATCCTCATGTTCGAGCACCCGAGGATTTGGTATGTATTGTTATGTGATACCCTGTGCATTTGAATTATACTCTCTTTAGAATGACAATGATAATTCTAATCACAGAACTGCATCAAGTACCTTAAAGTAGGTATGAGCTAGAAAAAATATTTAAGGACTCTTTAGCATCATATTCTTTCTCATCTGCTGGAATATTGAAAGCTTGGCGCAGGTCAGATATCTGTGGGAGGCCTTAGAAGCTTTGAATTTGAGACCTCATGCTAGGTTTTCTGCAGGGTGTTTACTTGAAGATATAGGTAATTGATGAACACACGCACACATACTATGGTTCTGATGACTTAATTCCTTCCTTACAACTCTTTTCAATTCAATTTATAGCAACACTGATGAAACGCCTAGCTCTTAACCGAGCATAAAGCCAGGGGCACTGAGACGATTCTTCTGTGAACTGCTCTAAAATATCTATGGATATACCTAAAGCAATTCATGAAGGTTTGCCCTCCGGAGAATTTGTGGGCTGTATTGGCTGGTGGATAAGGTTTGCTGATTTTGTGGCCATGCCTCACCCACACTGCCTCCTTTCCTCACCTCTCTGGAGCGGTCGCATCAAAGACAATGCGACGTTGTCTCACTGCCAGGCCACTGCTGGTTGGCAAATGGATTGTGAGAAGAGGAGGTGTTATAAATATCTTGTATAACCAAACTGGGTAGATTGGATTTCAGGGTCAGAGATATTCCTTCCATCCTCCCCCCTCCCTCCTGGTCCCTTCCTTGCCTTCTTTATTTCCCACATATTTACTCAGCACCTCCTCCGTTTCTGACACGGTTGCTCACTGCTTCGCATATAAAGTCGCCCTCCTTCATTAGCGGTTCGGCTTTCCGGGGTTTCGGTTCCTTGCCGCCAAGCATGGTGGGAAAGCAGGTCGTCCTCCTTCTGACGTCACAATGCCTGCGACATTCACCTCACGGCATCTCGTTACGTAGGCATTTGATGGTCTCACAACGTCACAAGAAGGGTGAGTACTGGACAGTAAGATATTTTGGGAGAGAGGGAGACCCTATTTACAAAACGTTTGTTATAGTATATTTTTGTAACCGTTCTATTTTATGATTAGTTATTGTGGTTAATCTTTTACTGTCCCTAATTTATAAGTGAAACTTCGTCTCCACACTATGTGTGGAGCCCGATGAGGGGCTCAAACTCACAAACCATGAAATCGTTATCTGAGCCAAAAGCAGCGGTCAGTCGCTCAACTGACTTAACCACCCAGGAGCCCCGGGAAGGTGGATATTATTAAAACAAGTAATTCCCCAGGGTGTCTGGGTGGCTCAGTTGGTTCAGCATCCAACTGTTGGTTTCAGTTCAGGTCATGATCTCTTGGTTCATGGGTTCAAGCCCTGGATCTGGCTGTCTTGCTGTCAGTGCAGAGCCTGCTTGGGATTCTGTCTCTGTCCCTCCTGGCGTGTGTTCTCTCCCTCTCAAAATAAATAAACTTAAAAAAAAAAACAAAAAAACAAAAAACCAAGTAATTCCAATAAAGTGGGATTATCATTATGGGAAGGGATGGAGAAGTACTCTTTATTTGGCCAGAGCATTTGTGATTCTACTCTGATGGCATTTTTCACATTGTGTCCAAAGCTAGTCTCCCTTTCTGGACTGTGCTCTCTTAGAAGTTCTCATTTACCATGGTATCCCCACTCCCAGTGCAATGCCTGGTATTTGGAGGCTAATAAGAATTTACTGAATGAATAAATGCTCTATGATTATTATTGATAATTATTTTATTCAGCTTTCTCTATCTGTAATCCTGAACATATAGTTGACACACAATAAATACTAGTCAATGAAGTGATGGTCATCTTTTTTTTTTTTTTTAATATAATGTGGCTTTATTTATTTATTTTAAAAGTAATCTCTACACCCAACGTGGGGCTTGAACTCATGACCTCGAGATCAAGAGTCACATGCTCTACTCACTGAGCCAGCCAGGTGCCCCCCTAGTCAATGAAATGAATGAATAGTCATAGTATTGTGAACAGCAGTTGTTGTGGAGACAGATACTGACCCAGGACTGAAGGGGAGATGGGAATTAAGACCTCTTTTTGCCATTTACTGAGCTGTAGTTACTGGAGCCAAATACAACCTTTCTCTTGGGTTCTGATTCCTCATTTGTAAATGAATGTAAGTGAATGTAACAGCACCTGCCCTGCCTCCTTCACAGATTGGTCATCAAATGCATCAAATGGCAAACTGTAGGTGAAGTGCTTGTGAAGCACTCTACACATCTCACGAATCAGCACCTGCTTGCTGCAAGAGAGGGAAGGACCTTCAGTCCAAATGAGAGACCAGCATCACTCTTCTTTGAGAAGCTCTTGGAAGGTAGAGTGCTTTCCATTTTAAATACCATGTTCCTTGCTATGTTTTTTACTGTTAGAAATCCTTTCTCAGCCTCCTTCTTCCCTAACTACCAAAAGAAACAACTTCATTCTTTTATACTTTTCCCTTGGCATTTTATATTGAAAAATGTCAAACTAACAGAAAAGTTGAAAGAACATTGTAGTAAACACCTTACACCTTTTATCTAGATCACTAGTTAATCTTTTGCCACATTTGCATACCCTCTCTTCTCTCTGAGTATGTATGTATGTGTATCTTTATGTGTATATGAAGTAAGTTTCACACAGCATAACATCCCTGTATAAACACAATACAATGATTACTCTCAAGAAAAGTTAGATAAATTAATTAGATATCATATACATAATATACAGCCCATATTCAAATTTCTGCAGTTATACCAATATGTACTTTATAGCTGTTTTGTCTTTTAAACCAAGGATCGTGTACTCATGCAGTGGATTTATTAGTTTTGCTCCTTAATCGCCCCCCTCCTTTTTTTTCGTTAAAAAAATTTTTTTTTAACATTTATTTATTTTTGAGACAATGCAAGAGACAGAGTGCAAGCAGCAGAGGGGCAGACAGAGGGAGACACAGAATCCGAAGCGGGCTCCAGGCTCTGAGCTATCAGCTCAGAGCCCGACACAGGGCTCGAACTCACAAATCGTGAGATCATGACCTGCGCCAAAGTCGAACGCTTAACTGACAGAGCCACTCAGGCGCCCCCCCTTTTTTTTTCTTTACACTTTCAGAGTCCAGGCTAGTGTCCCTGAATTTGGATTCATATGATTGTTTCATTAGGATTATATACATGTTAAACATTTTTGACGAGTAATTCATAAGCTATAATGAATTATTCTTGGTGCATGTTGCCAAGAGGCATGTGTCAGTTTGTTCCATTATTGATGATGTTAAATTTGATCATAGCTTAAATTTGGTTAAGTGTTGTCTCCTTGATTTCTTCCTTGTAAAGATCACCTTTCTGCATTGTAATCAATAGATGATCTATGGAGTAATACTTTGAGACTAAGATACCCTGTTTACCTTCAACCTTTTACCCGATGGTTTTAACACCCATTGATGACCTGTACGAAAATCAATTCTTACAATAGCAAATACAAATGCCCTTATTTATTGTTGATGAATGGATGTGGAGAGAATAGAACATTGGCTTTATACGTCTTGATGGTTGGTGTGAGAAGGGAAGTAAGTAGTGAGACTTTGGGGCAAACGAAGTGGTCCACATAGAGAAGGAAGCTACATGACAGTGTGAGGATCCATGTGGGATAGAGGCTAAAATGTATGACAGTCTTCACTGACTTTGGAAGCTTGGCCTGAAGTAAGCTTTGATGGAGACCATTTATTGTATTTTATTTATGTCTTTTAAATTAGAAGTGACTCTGGTGACAGAACTTGGGTTCTGAAGGTTGTAGTACTGGCCAGAGAGGGTAGGGCTGAATCTTGGAAACTAAACAGTAAAGCAGAGAGAGATGTGTATTAGTTATGCTGCAGAGGAGTTACCTCATTAATTCGTCTATTCTTCCATCAGCCCATTCATTCATTCAGTTAATATTAAATGATCACCTGATATTTAATCAAGCTCTGTGCAAGCCTCTAGAGTTGCAATGATGAAAAAAATGAAGTCTCACGTCCCAGTCCTCATGGAGCTTATAGCCTAGTAAAGGAGGTAGATTTAATCACATAATAGGAACAAACTGACACTACAACAGCGGCAAGTAAGAAAACTGGGGAATTTAAATCTCTGTATTTCTTCAAAACTTAGAGGTGGTTATAATGCATGGTTACTTTATGTACCACTAAGGAAAAAAAGTCATTTACAATGGAAATGGAATACCAAAGGGCTTTCCTACTCAGTAAATAAGAAGTAAATGATCTCAGAGTAAGGAACAGCAAGGAAACTTACTGGTCTCAACCTTGCACTGAGTGGTAGGAGGAAAAGAAAACCCCCTTGAGAATTCTGATGCCAAGTCAGTACTTAGGGTTTTCCATCTGAATTCACATCACTACTGTGTCCGAAAAACTCAAGCAGAGAATTTAAAGTGAGTTCAGATTGGTGGTTCCCTGGGGCAAGTGCAAATTGGTGAAGGTAAGTGCAAATCTTGCTGGAAGAATTTGACTTTAATCTGGGCCAGCAGTGATTGGGAGACTCCATTTACTTATAGGACATACTCTCACACTTAAGGGGAGAGACACATGCATCATCAACTTGATGAAACATGGTAATCAGGGCAGTGTGGGTGGCTTCCCTGATACACCGATGCTTGGATTAATGTTGAGATCTAAAGGATGCAAAAGCTCTGCTTTGGTAAGAGGGTGGGAAGATGGTGGGAAGAGCGTGGAGGTGTGAACACATGCAAAGGTCCTGCAGAGGGGGTGGTACAGAGAGTACAGGGAACTGGAGAGGCCTGGGATGCTGCAACAATGAAGGACGGAGTGTGGTGGTGGTAGGTAAGGCTGGAGGGCTAGGCTCAGGGGAGGCTGTGCAGGACTGTGTAAGATACATGAAGGAGTTTTGCCAGATCTTAAGAGAAACAGGTGCCTGAAAGGTATTTTGGGGGAAGAGACTGAGAAAATCACATATAGGTTTAGAAACAATGGTTTGGGGGACACCTGGGTGGCTCAGTCAGTTGGGCATCTGACTTTGGCTCAGGTCATGATCTCACAGTTCGTGGGTTTGAGCCCCATGTCGGGCTCTGTGCTGACAGATCAGAGACTGGAGCCTGATTCAGATTCTGTGTCTCTGTCTCTCTCTGCCCCTCCGTCACTCATGCTCTGTCTCTCTCTGTCTCAAAAATAAATAGTAAAAAACAAAAACAAAACAAAACAAAAAAACCAAAACCAAACCAAAACAAAAACAAACAGAAGCGTGGGTTTGGCTGCTAAGGAAAATATATTGAGGGTATATGGAAGCCTAGTGAGTGGTGCTCACAGTCTAAGCTTGAGACATGACTCTATTCTTTGCAGAAAAGATAACTTGAAAAGACTGAGGCTCACTTTGGACTTTACTGTCTGAAAGAGAATAACCCTCAGACTTCGCAAGTTCAGAGAGTGTCACTGTGACAGGAGGTCTGCAGTTGATGGGGGATTTCCTGGGGAGACCCCAAAAAGTGGTGGTTTGGCTTTCTCATCATGTATCTTCTAAGATATTACTTGCCATTTTTTGGGAGGTCCCCAAGTGAGCTGCCAAAAAGCTATAAGGTTAGGAAGATTTTCCCAGTGCAGATGATAATGCTTTTCTTAAACCTCGCCTGTCTTATTTTTTAATAAAAATCTGCTGTAGTTCAATAACTGGGACTTGTTCTACACTAAGAAAGGCAGGGTGTAGTCTCAGTGGTTAAATTTGCTGTGGTCTTTTTGCAGAAACCTTTGTTTCTGGCTTTTTTAAGGAGTATTTTATCTTTAAGCTCTAAATATAGTGCTGGAAAAGAGTGACTTCAAACACCTGTAAGAGATTTAAAATGTGCTCTTTTGTTTTTAAGGC